AGGAAATAAAGGAACAGAATAGGAAGGAAGAAGGAAAGGAAGGAAGGAAGGAGAGGGAGAAGAGAAGGAAATAAAAGAACAGAGAGGAAGGAAGGAGAGAGGAAGGGGGAGAGAGAAAGGAAGGAAGAAGAGAGGAAGGGAAAAAGGAAATGAACAGAATAGGAAGGAAGGAAGGAAGGAAGGAAGGGATGAAGGGGGAGAGAGGAAGGAAGAAAGGAAGGAAGAAGAGAGGAAGGGGAGAGGAAGGAAGGAGAAAGGGAGGGAAGAAAGAAATAAAGGAACATAATTGGAAGGAAGAAGGGAAGGAAAGAAGGAAGGAGAGAGGGAGGGAAGAAAGAAATAAAGGAACAGAAGGAAGGAAGAAGAAAGGAAGGGAGAGAGGAAGGAAGGAAGGTGAGGGGAGGGAAAATGGAAATAAAGGAAGAGAATAGGAAGGAAGAAGGAAAGGAAGGAAGGAGAGAGGGTGGGAAGAAAGAAATAAAGGAACAGAAGAGGAAGGAAGGAAGAGAGGAAGGGGAGAGGAAGGGAGGAAGGAGAGAGGGAGGGAGGGAAAATGGAAATAAAGGAAGAGAATAGGAAGGAAGAAGGAAAGGAAGGAAAGAGAGCGGGAGGGGAGAAAGAAAGGAACAGAAGAGGAAGGAAGAAGGAAAGCAAGGAAGGAAGGAGAGGGGAGAACAGAAGGAAATAAAGGAACAGAGAGGAAGGAAGGCAGGAGAGAGGAAGGCGGAGAGGGAAAGGAAGGAAGAAGAGAGGAAGGGAAAAAGGAAATGAACAGAATAGGAAGAAAGGAAGGAAGAGATGAAGGGGGAGAGAGAAAGGAAGAAAGGAAGGAAGAAGAGAGGAAGGGAGAGAGGAAGGAGAGGGAGGGAAAATGGAAATAAAGAAAGAGAATAGGAAGGAAGAAGGAAAGGAAGGAAGGAGAGAGGGAGGGAAGGAGGGAAAATGGAAATAAAGGAAGAGAATAGGAAGGAAGAAGGAAAGGAAGGAAGGAGAGCGGGAGGAGAGAAAGAAAGGAACAGAAGAGGAAGGAAGGAAGGAAAGAAAGAAGGAAGGAAGGAAGGATGGATTCTGGGGAATTCTGCAAGTTGAAGCCCACCCGTCTCCTAATTGCCAAGTCTGAGTAACAACCGAAGCCTGTATCCAATTTACAAGCTGTTAAAAATCAGTGGAAACACCAAATTACCCACTTCAAATATGTTTTTTCTGTCTGGGCCTCAGGGCAGGGAGATAGCAGGCCGGAGATTAAACCCTTCCCCTACCGGACCTGCAAACCCCTCTCCTCCTTCGCAATTTTTTTTTTTTTTTTAATTTTGACTCTCGCTCTTTCTGGTTTTTCCAAATTCTGGCCTCGGGCCTTCGCAGATGTCTCTGTGTGTTTGTGTGTTGATAAGGACGGGGGGGGGGCAGTCCTGGCACACAAAAAATAAAATCAAATCAAGGAGGACAAACCCCAAAATCTACAAAATGACAACCTTGCGCGATAATCAACGGTTGCCACCACAATTCTCCAAAATTGGTGGCGATTGGGCAAAAAAAAAATAAAACCCCTGCAAAAATTGCAAAGAGAGACGCCGACGGGAAAGACGAGCAAAAAGGTTGTGGCCGGGCTGGAAGCCAGGCAGGCAGGCAGGCGGTGTTGTGTCTTGTACGCCCTGCCCTGTTTGCAGGGTGTACAAACTTCTCCTAGAGAAATGTAGCAATGCAAGGCACACACAACCCTCCAGGGGTTGTGGGAGGCCAAAATTCCTCAGCCGGTTCAGCGGCGCGAGGTCGGGGATAATCATCATAATAAAACGAATGGTATTGCGAGCTGGGGACCAGTTCCACCAGTAAAAACAGAAGCATTTAGTCTCCTGCAAGCGTGCGGGGATGCTTCTGTCTGGTTTTTAAGCAAAGGGAGGGAACGATTGCCCTCCCGTCTGGGTTTAATTCTTTTCGGGGGTGTTTTTTTTTTTTTTTTTGCATCCACCAGATCAGGGATGGCGAACCGGAGGGCCCAAACGGCAACCCCAAAGCCGCTGATTTAGAGCCGAGTGCCTACACGATAATTTAAGCTGAAGGATGAGGTTTTGCGACCAAAAGTAATGATAAGCGAGGCAGACGTTCAGCTAATTGTTCTAAGAAAGAAGAAAAAAAAACAAAAAAACCCGTGATAAATGCACTTTGGTGCCCCTTCATTTTTCTTCCCCCCCTGCTTTTGAAATATTACGTTTAGCAACAATAAAAAAAAAAAAAACTTTTGTAATATTATTTCTTTTTCCCTCCCTCTCTCTCTTTCCCCTCTCTCTTCTCGCTCTCTCCCTCCCCTCGCGCCTCTCTCTTTCCCCTCCCTCTCTCTTTTCACCTCTCTCTCTTTCTCCCCCTCTCTCTTCCCCTCCCCCTCTCTCTGTCTCTTCCCCTCCATCTCTCTTTGCACCTCTCTTTCTCTCCCTCTCTCTTCCCTCTCTCTTTTCCCCTCTCTCTCTTCCCCTCTCTCTCTTCTCCCCCTCTCTTTCTCCTCCCTCTCTCTTTGTCCTTCCCTCTGTCTTTCCCCCTCCCACTCTCTCTCTGTCTTTTCTTTCCCCTCCTCTCTCTTTCCCCCTGTTCTCTCCCTCTCTCTTTCCCCCTCTTTCTCTCCCTCTCTCTTTCCCTCCCTCTCTCTCTTTCCCCGTCTCTTTCTCTCTTTTCTCCCCTCTCTCTTTCTTCTCCCTCTCTCTTTCTTCCCCTCCCTCTCTTTCCACCTGTCTTTCTCTCCCTCTCCTTTTCCCTCCTCCTCTCTTTCCCCTCCTTTCTCCCTTTCCCCCCTCTTTCTTTCCCCTCTCTTTCTCTCCCTCTCTCTTTTCCTCCCTCCCTCCCTCTCTCTCCCTCCCCTGCGGGAGAAACGCAATAGGCTGGGGTGGGCTTCCAAAATTTTAGCAAGGGGTTCTCTGCCCAGTTGCTGGGTGGGCGTGGCCATGGTGGGCGTGGCCTAGTCGGCCTCTTGCACCACAGAGAGGGGAGGCGTCTTTGCCCTCCCCTGGCTCCGGAGGCTTTTCTTGAGTCTCCGGGAGGGTGAAAACGGCCTCCCCAGACTCTGGAGGTCCTCTGGAGGCTGGAAACGGGCCAAATTTCCAGTAGGCCCATTTTTCGCCCTCCCCGAACCTCTGTGCACATCCGGCACCCAAAACGGGCCACGTGGGGACTCCTAGGAGCGGTGGGATTGGCGGGGCAGGGCCAGCCAGGAATGGGGGTTCTCCGAACTGCACAGAATCTTAGCTAGAGGTTCTCCCGAACCCTTGCGAACTCCCAACAGCCCACCCCTGGCGATGGCATGAGCGCCCATAGAGAGGGCCTGAGTGCCACCTCTGGCATCACAATGGGGAAAGCTGCACCGGTTGGTTTTCCATCTGACCCTTGGTGCCCCTCCCCTCCCTAACCCCCCCCCCTGTCTTGCTTAAAAGAAACAGGGCAGGCAGGCAGAAGTCATTGGGATGGCAATTTGGTTAATTTCGTAGCCGGGGCGGGGGGGTCATCGAAAGCTCAAAATAGGTCCCCCGAAAGATGAATCGCTTAATGACAAGGATCGTCTCCGAGACCCCCTACAACCCAGCTCAAATTCCCACCACGTTTTTTTGAGATGAGAAATAACCCCGAATTATCGTAATTTCCGAGGACTACGGTTTTTTTTAAAAATAAGTGTTGTTAAACACACACACTAAGCGCTAAGACACACACAAATCCGCGTTGCAAGTCCAGGGGGAAAAAAAGGAAAAAAAATGTCAGTAAACTTGCTGGAAGCCAAAACGGACCATCTCTAGGAAGATGATTCACTCTGGAACGGCCGTTCCTGCAAAGGATTCGGCTTGGGAACGGACGATTCCGGGTTTTTTTTCAACGGGGTCCGATGGAAAAATGTCACGTTGGAGGGTCGCAATTAAAACTCAAAATTCTAGAGCAGAGTTTCTGGCATGTGGATGTCAACTCGCAGAATTCCCTAGGTAACCTTACGAAGGAAAGGAAGGAAGGAGAGAAGAAGGGAGGGAAGGAAGGAAGGAGAAAGGGAGGAAGGAAAGAAGGAGAGAGAGAGAGGGAGGGAGGAAAGGAAGAAAGGGGACAAGAAGGGAAAGAAGGAGGGAGGAAAGGAAGAAAGAAGAAAGGGAGGGAGGGAGGAAGGTGGGAGAGAGGGAGGGAGGGAAGAAAGGAGAGAAGAAGGAAGTAAAGGAGGGAAGGAGGGAGGGAAGGAACGGGAGAAGAATGGAAAGAAAGATGAAAGGAAGAAAGGGAGAGAGGAAGGAAGGAAGGTGGGAGGGACAGAGGAAAGAAAGGAGAGAAGGAGGAAGTAAAGGAGGGAAGGAGGGTGGGAAGGAAGGAGAAAAAGAGGAAAGAAAGTAGGATGGAGTGAGGGAGTGAGGAAAGGAAGAAAGGGGAGAAAAAGGGAAAGATTGAGGGAGGGAGGGAAGGAAGGAAGAAAGGAGGAAGGGAGGAAGGAGGGAGGGAGGGAGGGAAGGAAGAGCAGGAAGAAAGGGAGGGAGACAGGGAAGGAAGGTGAGAAGGAAGGAGAAAGTAAGGAAGGAAAGAAGGACGGAGAGAGGGAGGGAAGAAAGGAGAGAAGGGAAAGAAAGAAGGAGTGAGGGAGAGAAGGAGGGATGGATGGAAGGACAGGGTGGGAGGAAAGAAAAAGAAGAAAGGAAGGGAAGGAGGAGAGAGAGGGAGGGACGGAAGGAAGGAGTCAAAGAGAGGGAGGAAGGAAAGAAGGAAACTACACTCCTTTCCACCCCCAAGGTGTCAAATATAGTTGTCAATCAATAAAAGATTGCGGTTGCCAAGTTTGCAATCAGCCAGGTGTCCCCCTCCCAAGACTCAAAGATGATCTCCAAAACAGATCCCCACCGGATCCCTAACGTCGCCTAAACACTGCCGGCTACTTCCCACATTGCCGACCTCCGACCTTTGCTGATTTCGGCCCTTCCAAGATTAATCCCGGGGGGATGTCATGAGGACTAGAAACCCGACGGAGGAACCGTTCGTCGGCCAACACTTACCGACCAGGAACTCGAGGCAGATCCGGTGGTCCTCGTAATCGAAAGGCTGCTGGAAGTGAAGCTTCATCTCGAAGGGCTGCCCGCGGCGGATGATCAGGTTGTTGTACTCGTACTCGTCCGTGTGATGGGCGCATCGGTTGGTGCCCGTGCGGCTGCTCATTAAATCAATCTTTTTGATGACCAGCATGCCCTCTGCGGGAGGAAAAAGGAAAGGAGGGTCACTCACTCCGGCCACGAACGTTTTTGCATCCTAATCAGGGTGGGTTGCTACAGGTTCGTCCCTAATCAGGGTGGGTTGCTACAGGTTCGTCCCTGTTTGGGCGCCCGGACGTCATCAAATATGTTCTGCGCATGCGCAGAAGCGAACCGGCAGCAAGAGTAAGTGAAACCCACTTCTGATCCTAACCCAGATTGAGGTTCCGAAGACCACGAAAGAAAAGTTGCCGAAATCTAAATTTTCAGCCGATTTTTTTAAGGGTTCGCGAGATGCAAAAACCTGAGGTAAAAATTTCTGCCTCCAAACTGAAATTCAATTCAGAGAGGAGAAGATGAAGATGGGTGCAACTATTGAAGCTTTCAACCCGTACAGGCAGTCCTCGACTTACGGCATCTCGTTTAGTGACCGTTTGAAGTGACAACAGCACTGAACAAAGGGACTTGCGTCCATTTTTCACACTTACGACCGTTCCAGCGTCCCTAGGGTCACAGGATTTTCCATTTGGATGCTTGACAACTGACTCGCATTTATAACGGTAACAGGGTTGGAAGCGACCTTGGAGGTCATCTAACCCAACCCCCTGCTCACGCAGGAGACCTGGACTAGGGATTCGAACCACCGAACTGCCCACCTTTCTGATATGACGGTCGCAGTGTCCCGGAGTCCGTTTTGGGAACTTCGGACAAGCAAAGTCAACAGGAGCCAGATTCACTTAACGACCGTTTCACTGACTTAATAACTGGGGGGATTCACTTAACAACTGTGGCATCGTAAAATGGGGCATAACTCACATAACAAATGTTTCGCTTAGCAACAGGAATTTGAGGCTCAATTGTGCTCATAAAGCCGAGGATTACCTGTATTTCTCAACCTGGGCTACTTTTAAGACGGCTCGACTTCAACTCCCAGAATCCCCCAGCACAGCATAGAATTCTGGGAGTTGAAGTCCACCCAAGAAGCAATAGGTGGAAATTAATCAAGGAGAGTCCCTTCCACATATATTCTGATTGAAATTGGGTGGGAGCTTTGTACCTGATTGAGCTCATCTCCCAGCCCCCCGAAATCTCTCTCAGATAGTCTCTCAGACCCCCCTGGATGACTTACCCCGGATGACGGGATCCGTCCGCCGGGCTCCCGGGACTTCGCCGGGCGCCGGTGTCCAGTCGCTGTCATCCCGGTGGCCCGCGCAGCACCGGCAAAATTTGTGAAACCAACTTTGTTTCTTCCTCCTGGGTGCCGGTTCGACGGCATTCGGCTGGCGTACCCGGTAGCTGACATTGGCCCACCGGCCTGCATCCCCCCGTGGATCCGATACAGGCATGGCGTCTGCGGAAGAGAAAGAAGAAGGGCGTTTAGAGCTGCACAGTCCCCAAATTCGAGCTTAGAAAACAGAGCCAACTTTTTTTATCCGTTTCATCGTTTCCCCGTTTGCACCCGAGAGGAAGATGGAGAGGCGATGAGAAAGACGAGGTAGAGATACCGGAATGACATCGGAGCCCCTCAAAGTCAGGCTGGCAGTGCCAGGCGAAAAGCAGCCGAGTGTACCCCTGTGGGGTACGATACAATTCCTGGCTATGCAATTGTATTTCAGGAAAACTCACAGCTTGTCTACATCCTTCCGGGACAATTAAATATTCCTCTAAAATCCAGGGATTCAGCTGGTTCGTACCGATTCGGACAAAACGGTAGTTACGGTGAGCGGCTGGGCCCACCCTCTCATCCCGGCACTATCCCATCTTATACAATCACCATGGTTTTGACGCGGTGTGTATGTGTATTAGATGCGCGCGCGAGCGAAGCTATCCCGTCCTATACAATCGTCGTGATTTTGACGCAGTGTGTATGTGCGTAAGTCGCGCATACATTTTCGATTCTGGGCGAACCAGTCGTTAAATTATGCGAAGCCCACCTCTGCTAAAATCACTGAAAGACGTGTGGACTTCAACTCCCAGAATTCCCCAGACAGTTCTTTTTTTCCTCCCATTTTGCTGAAGTCAAGATATATTACGCTTACTGCATACCCACCATCTATGAAGAAAATTATCCTCTATGGCTGATTGAGGAATTCTGGGAGTTGAAGTCCACAGGCCTTAAAGTGACCAAGGTTGGAGATCCCTGATTTAAGACGTGTGGACTTCAACTCCCAGAATTTCCCCAGACAGTTCCTTCCCCCCCCCATTTTGCTGAAAACAAGATATATGATGCTTACTGCATACCCACCATCTATTAAATTCCCCACCCACCCATGGCTGGGTGAGGAATTCTGGGAGTTGAAGTCCACAGGCCTTAAAGGGGCCAAGTTTAGTGATCCTTACTGTAGTACGGCGTACCGACTCTCTTTACTTTAAATTAGAGACATACGCCCACTTTGTCTGGACATTAAGCCCCTGTTTAATCATGTCTTATGAAACAAGCCAGCTTCAAGAGCCTAGATAGACTCTACAAATACTTGCATCCCTGCCAATCAGCTATCACCATTCAAGGACAAGCTAGCTAGCTGCATCACATTCAGCCACCATTTGATTGATTGAGGTTCACACCATTTAAACCACGATGGGTTGAATTCGCAAACCGTGTTCAATCCCAAACCCCAGATATAAAGGTCTGTTTTTATTTCTGCAATATTTTTAGTTTTACCAGCTGGGATGCTCCTTGCAAAAGGGTTCCTCTCCTCAGGTTTAGTATTCGGCAAGTTCCCCAGGTGAGTTTTATTTAAAAAAATAAGACTTTTCTTAAAGGTACAGGTGGTCCTTGATTTACAACGGCTCATTTAGCGACCATTTGAAGTTAGGATGAAACAAAGCGACTTACGTCTGGTCCTCGCACTTACAGCCGTCGCAGTAAGGGACATTCTGGGAATATTTTGACTCTTTTTTCCTCAGGTTTTTTTCCATGTTGGGTCTAACATGGTAAAGGCAGTCCTCGACTTACAACAGTTCATTTAGTGACCGTTTCAAGTTACGACAGCCCTGAAAAAAATGGGACTTAGGACCGTGTTTCGCCCTTATGACCATTGCACCCTCCCCTTGGTCGTAGAATCAAAATTTGAATGCTTTGCAAATTGGTTCCTATTTATGACAGACGTCGTATCCCGGTGTGTCACGCCATCCCCTTTTGGGACCTTCTACAAAGCAAATCCGATGGGGAAGGCAGATTCGCTTAACGACCGTGTTCCTGACTTAACAGCTACAATGATTCACTTAACGACAGTGGCAGGAAAGGTTGTAAAATGGGGCAAAACTCACTTAACAAATGCTTCACTTAGCAACCTAAATTTTGGGCTCAATTGTGGTCACAAGTCGAGGACAACCTGTACAGGCTGCTCCTCAACTTATTACCATTCATTCAGTGACCATTGAAAGTTACAAGGGCACTAAAAAAAAATGACTTTATGACCGGTCCTCACACTTACGGCCATTAGATTATCATCACGGTTACACAATCCAAATTGGGGTGCTGGGCAGCCGGCATGTATTTACGATGGGGGATCATGTGATTGCCGGCTTCCAACAAGCCAAATCAAGAGGGAAAGCCAGTTTCACTTAACGACCATTTGATTCACTTAACAACTTCAGCAATTTGCTTAGCAACCGTGGCCAAAAAATGGTCGTAAAATTGAACGTGACTCACTGAAACCACCGCCTTACTTCACAAGGGAAATGTTGGTCCCGATTGTGTCCTAAGTCGAAGACTAGGACTCTAGTCCTCGACTTACGACACAATCGGGACCAACATGATTCGAAAGGCCTCACCGGCTGGGAAAAGACTGTTAAACGTGGGATGCCAAATCTTCCAGGCGTATCCGGATTCAAAACATCCCATAGTCAGCGATGTTCACACATATCCTGCAGATACTTTGTGAAGAAATTTGTGAAGAAAACACAATTTGCTTCCTGCGGCGCTTCTTAATTTGAATTTCCGAGCACGGGTAGGCCTCTAAGCCCCGAATACAAGAAATCGTAACATGTGCAAACCCTTTGCCACAGTTCTGAGACTCTGCTTTCACCCACTCAGCCTTGTGACCAGGCCTCGACCCAGTCTTTCCCTCCAATGCCGACGTGCCAAGTTTCTAGTCCCTAAAGGGCTTGTGCAAGCTTTTTGTCTCCCTTCCCCTTTCTTTGTCCCCTGACTCAGCGTCGGCTGGGGCTTCCGGGAAAGGAGAGCGAGGGTCAGTGGGCCAAGGGGAGATTCTCGGCCTCCCTCTCCAAAGCCCACCCAGCAATTCTGCTGTCGGGACAGATGTGGACAGATGCGGAGAAGGGAAAGGAGGCCAAAGGGCCAGAAGGAACCGAAAGGCCGAGATAGGAAAGTAGAAGAAAGAACAAACTGTACTTTCACAGGGTCAGGGGTTGGGGAGGGGGGGAACTCCTGATAAAATTTGGGCCCTGGCCAAAGCCGTCCAGATATCAAACGGATGAAAAAAAAAACGGGTCAGGGGTTCAACCAACATCTGCTTCACAGCTTTGTTTTCCATGCTGGCTTAAATCTCCTTCTCCATAACCCTAAATGTCCTGGTTTTTTACTTTATTTTAAATTTTATTTCCTCTGGGGGGACTTCATCTCCCAGAATTCCCTTGGCAGCGTGGCTGACTGAGGAATTCTGGGAGTTGAAGTCCACAGGTTTAATGGCCTTTTGCTGTACGGCAGGCAGAGGTGGTATTCAGCCGGTTCGCCCGTACCGGTAACAGAAATCGCGAGTGGGCCCGCTCTGGTTCTATGCCATCCTGTTTAGGCATGTTTTTGAGGCCAGGCGCATATATGGAAGGCGCGCACGCCAGCAAAACATATGTGCGGAAGGCCGGGCGCATGCGTGGATGGGGACGTTTGCGAATTGGTAGGGAAAGTAAAGGGATGCGGTGGCGCAGTGGCTAAGACACTGAGCTTGTCAATCGAAAGGTCGGCAGTTCAGCGGTTCGAATCCCTAGTGCTGCGTAATGGGGTGAGCTCCCGTTACTTGTCCCAGTTTCTGCCAACCTAGACGTTCGAAACCCCGTAAAAAATGCAAGTAGAAAAATAGGGACCACCTTTGGTGGGAAGTTAACAACGTTCCGTGCGCCTTCGGCGTTGAGTCATGCCGGCCACATGACCATGGAGACGTCTTCGGACAGCGCGGGCTCTTCGGCTTTGAAACGGAGATGAGCACTGCCCCCTAGAGTCGGGAACGACTAACGCATATGTGTGAGGGGAACCTTTACCTCATACCTAGGGAAAGTAAGTGAATACTACCCCTGACGGCAGGGGTGTCAAACTGACGGCCAGCAGGCCGGATACATCATGCGCAAGCCATGCCCACCCCAGCTCTGCGAAGGGGAGAACGTCGCGAATCGTCATGTGACGGCAACGTGACGCGGCGAGTTTGACACCCAGCGCCGTACGGCAAACTGACTCTCTTACCTTACCAGTTAGAGACCTAAGGCCTGGTTTGCCTTCGACATTAAGCCTCTGTTTAACAATGTATAAAAAACATATGCGGCTTGGCCACCTTTATCGCTTTTTTTTTTTTTTTGATAGGGTAAATCGCTTAATAGAAAGCGGGGATGCAGTAGATGTAATATACCTTGACTTCAGCAATGCTTTTTTTAAAAAAATAGCCCATGAAAACTGACTGGGGAATTTTGGGAGTTGAAGTCCACCCATCTTCACGGTAGAGAAACACTGAGATTGGAGCGCCTCTATTTAGATCTAATCTTGGGATAAGGAGAGTCGGGTAAAACCTCCAGCTTCAGGGGCAGTCTACCTGAATAATGACTCTCCCGGGACAGAAGAGTTGCTTGAGTGTGACAGCAGGTCAAACCTACCCTTTGAACAGACCGCTGCCATCTCTCAGAAATGGTGTAGGTAGGGTCTCCAGCTCGGACCGGGGGGGTTGGACTAGATGACCTATAAGGTCCCTCCCAGCTCTTGTTATTCTATTCTAAAACGTTGCAACCTGGCTATCTTTCAAATCAGAGAAGAGAGGCTCGCTCAACCGCTGCTGTTTGACAAACCATAACTAAACCACGGATTGGTGTGATGCAGGTGGTGGGTTGCAACCGATGTTACCACAAGGAAGTTGTGTTATCGCGAGGAAGCCAAGACCAATTCCCTGCAAGTAGAAATCTAATCTGGAAAGGAGCTAATGCCAATTCCCTGCAAGTAGAAATCTAGTCTGGAAGAGAGCCAAGACCAATTCCCTGCAAGTAGAAATCTAATCTGGAAGGGAGCCAAGACCAATTCCCTGCAAGTAGAAATCTAATCTGGAAGGGAGCCAAGACCAATTCCCTGCAAGTAGAAATCTAGTCTGGAAGAGACCAAGACCAATTCCCTGCAAGTAGAAATC